TCTGAAGCTTGATAGCCGGAATTCACTAGTGGATGGGCAGACGCCAGCTCGGCAGCGGGCTTCCGAGTATCTCGAATAGCACTCGTTCCGGAGGCTTGAGTGGAATCTGTCTTCTTCCTGCATTTTCTCTCAGGCTTCACCTTTCACACCTTTCGCTCAGCCACATCAGTCGGGCCTTCTCGAAAATAGACAGTTTCTCTCCCAGACGGCGGGTCGTCATAATCCCATGTTGGTACCGACGGGAGAGATGGAACCGGAACTCTGATATGTCGACATAATCTTTAGAGTATCTCGCTCCCGTGTAGAAAGGTATCCGACGAAGCTTCAATTGCGAAAATCTACCGAAGCTTCTATTGTGACCTGTAAACATCCTTGGCATGTGTTCGGCCGAGTCCAGGATCGCTGAATTAGCCCGAATCGCGGCTCGATACACTTTGGCTAACAGATATCTCTTCCCTTGAATGTGAGTCAATGTTGCCGGAAGCGGAGGAAAATACATTACCGCACGAGAGGCTACCTCAACTCCCGAAACCTTTGAGCTGAGGGACATGGCTACTCTCGCTGCGCTCAGCTCATCCTCTCGGGGATGCAATCCACCGGGAACACCAAGTACACGGAAAAAAAGCCGGAGGTAGTAGCGAGCTACCACCGCATATTTGCGTGAAAACGTCTGAAGTTATTGTGTAATGGTTTTGTGTAATGACGTGAATTCATCTGAGAGCCGATGGAGTATTCGGAGTAGGTGTGGCCATCGTGTTTCATTCGCGCTCAGCGTGAGGAATGCGGTCGGTTTCCCGAGCTGCCGTATCATTGCGAATGAATCTCTCCGTCGTTGCGACCAATACTGCACAGAATCGGGAATCGTTTTCAAGAAGGCTTGATTCGTTTCTATCAAGCGCTCTACGAAAGTACGGTCCTCAATCATTCTCCTAGTTATGGTCTCTGTTGTTCTTAAACATCGATACATGTTTTGAATACCATCATCCACTCGATGACGCATGATTTTCATGGCCATGTAAAGAACAGGTGGCTGGGATATACGGTAGAACAATGCTCAGAGTCTATCGCCACTATAAAGACTCGAGAACGAGAACATCACCGCTTCATATCTACGACAACAGCGGAGGATCTGCCCTCCTGGCGCTTTCCAGAGCGGGCTCCCTACCTACCAGGGTTCACAGATCGCTCTTCTCCACCGACCCAGAAACGACATGCAATAAGTGCGGCGTGTATCCGGAAACACTTGAGCACATAATCTTCAATTGCAATGAATGCTACTTCACGACAGACGAACTCGCAATCAAACAGGGTTTGACCACAGAGCTTAATCGCTATGCCGTGGAGTCAACGAAGCGCCTCCTCGAAAAATGGGAGCGTGAAACCTCTGGATCCGCTGAGCCAACTCGCGCCTGAATAGAAAGATTGATTTGTACATACTATGATACCATCTGATCCAAATAAACCATTAAACCATGTTGGGGAACAACCCCCCCCCTCTCCGTATTTCAGACAATGAATAAATGGCGTTGCTCGAACACCTGCAGCATCCTTAGACGTGATCTTACGGCCTACCCCAAGATAAATTTCAGGAAAAGACAGCTCCTCCGCTTAAGTATCGAATAATAAGCTCTCGGCCCTGTCATACTGTCCGGGAGCGATATCTGGACAATGGTCTTCGTTCCAAATCATGGTCTGCTGAAGTGCATTCAAAATCCCCGATTCTGGTTCCGTGACCGTATTGAGTTCCTCGATATCGAAATCAGTTGCCGAAACATGGGCAGACTCGGCACAGGGGACAGACTCATCGAGCTTCGAGAAATCTACAGTTATACCATAGTATCTGTATAGCGGTTGGTCAATCAGGAACTGAAGCCAAGATTTCACGGTTGATTTTTTCACGAAGCCACTCAAATACGAAGACTTGTGAATGATATTCTTTTTGAGATTCACGTTAAAAGCGTATTCGTCATCAAGTGACCGTGGCAATGACAGTATCATGGTATTCACATCGACGGGCACGTTTATGACTTGCCCGACTATGCCGTAGCAACGTATTACGACGTAAACGACGGATCTGCATATATGGTATCCGCGGTGACACGAGACGTTCCGATAGAGGATCTAATTTCGGCAAGTACGTCGGCTTCGCTGGATATTGATATCCATTGGTCTCACTGAGAGGTGGAATTTTAAATTCCCGACTTACTCTCTAACAATCACCGCACAGCTCGAAGACCGTGGTATCCTTGATCTCGAAATGGTCTCGCAGAAACATCGCCATACTGGGATTCACTGTTTTGAGATCGCGGAGAAACCAGAGGCGATCACAGACATCGCATTAATGCCCGAACTCGTTGTGAAGGAACATATTTTTGAATCTCTGCGTCGCTCTTTTTCACATATATTCGTAAGCCGCATCCCTCGTGCATTCGGTACCTCCATCGAAATTCGCAGCATTATTTCTGAGGACACCCAGCTCGTTTCGACTATCGCTATCCTGACGCATGAAATGTACCGATTCTTGCCGACTCACATTTCCATCTTCAGGGATCGAACTCAGCGCACCAAGATCTCCCGTGTTGGCCTCTGGTGACTGGGCCATTGCACGACGACGAGCACGATTTTCGCGGGATCTTTCCGTTGATGTTTTCGGCCGTTTCGCAGCTGCTTCAGACTGCCCTATATTTTCAGCTTCTCTTGCTTTGGACTCGTCTATCCGCAATTGGAACCACCGTTTCCAATTGCGGATAGACGAGCTAATCTCCACTCGAAACCCTGTTCGATTCAAGATCCTCCTCCGATCAGAATCTCAAGTGCAAGAAACTTATTTGATACCAGCCGGCCTCCGGCCGGCTGGAGCCGGCTGTCTCTTCGGCTTGCGTTCCGGCATCATTTGTGAGCTCATGCTACGGAGACTGAGGATTTCAGTCGGGAAATTCACCCTCCACCCTATAAAATAGAAGCGCAAGCGCTAAATAAATATTGGATTGAGTTGCGAAAATGTCATATATGTCACCATCAGCGAGTCGTCATATGACGCGTTGGACTGCAAACCGCGCCAAGTCCATTTTTCCGGAAGGCTGAGATTCGACACTGTAGAATCTCAGAAGATGTTCTGCTAAGATGCGGATGTGAGGGAGTTGTGGGCTCAGAATAAGCTTTTATTCGAAAATATAAAATAAAAATAAAAGACAGAGGTATGTGGAATGTGGACAAGAGAGGCAGAACTTAACGGAGAAGTTGCAGATCTTGGAGCCCACGGCATGCGTACAAGCAATGTGCGGATTCGTTCTCGCCCCGTCATGCCGAGAAGAAGAAAGCTCGTTCCTTTTGGTTTCTTGTCCATGATTCGCTGTTCCATGATCGCTTCCGTCTGAAGTTCGGGTTGACAGACGCTCGTTTTGGCACGTCGAAATTCATCGTTCACGTCCACGATACGCGCGCGACGATCACACGGCGAATCTCAATGTACGGTGTTCGGAATTTTGAATTAACTGTTTAAGTTTCACGTCGAGATTCGAATATTCGAATCTCGTTTGCCGCCGCTGATCTTTCCAACGGCTACCCGCCAATGGAGAATCAGTATCTAATGTAATATCAGCGCAGCGACGGCAGGGGGTAAACCGCGGGAGCTATCACTCCCTCTCGAATCCCGAGTCCAACCTGGACCTCGGCTCCCCATTGAGGACCTTAGTTTCGCCTTAAGGAATTTTCGGCCGACCTCAGGTATTGAACCTGACGGCCCCCAGGTCGATGGCGGCGTTGCCAACGACGCTGAGCATCCAGCCACCAAGCGCGAAGTGCCTTCCACCTAGCGCATATTAGTCAATGGATCCCTAAAGAGGCTGATTTGGTCATTACTCTTTTGATACTGCTGGAACGATCCAAGACCCGCGACCCCCAAGCCCCAACCGCCGTTAGGGACCTCATTGATTTGCGTAGCTGAGTTATACCAGCTCCCAATCTCATCGCCTTTCTGTTTAGGTTCAGAGAGAATCTTCCTGATCGCGCGCCCCAAGCACTACAGGGATGATAGTGGACTTGACGTGGTTTGCCGACCAACGCGTCATATATATCCCCATCAGCGATGACCGATTTCGAACAAAGAGGTGCCATTCGAACCACAATCGGACACAGCGTACCTGCCTAAGTACCACAGGATACCACATGAGTGTCGAAGTCAAAAAGCGGAAATCAGTAGCGGGAGGGGGAAATGAGAACATTCTGGAATCTCTCGGAATCGGGCCAGAAAGACCCATCAGCAAGAACGAAAGCGATTGCGGCGGTTTGTCGCGCCACCGGAGCCACCACAATCGGAGCAAAGCGTACCTTAGTACCACATAGTACCACATGAGTTCCGAAGTCAAGAATGAGGGTTTTTTGACATTCAGTGGGCGGGGGGGCATTGGATAAGAAAAAAAACATCAACTTGCACACCGGGGGATCATTATGCAACCGCCAAACTACATGTGCGCCGAAGTTGGCGAGGAGAAAGAGCCGAAAAACGGCTCACAAACGAAGCGCTTACGCTTTTATTCTATAGG